TTTTTTTTTTTTTTTTTTTTTTTTTTTTTTGTACTGGGGATCAAACTCCGGACCTTGTGCTTGCAAGGCAGGTGGTGGCACCACTGAGCTAGCTAAATCCCTGGCCCAGTGAATTTTTAAAATACAGATTCTTGCATCTCTATCCAGAGGTTTTTGTGAAGGGATGCTGGAATCTGTATTATTGTCCTACTTCTTAAGTAATTAGTAGGATTATCCAGGTTTAAGAGTAACTGAACAAAACATAAATTAATGATAACTATCCATACTCCAGAGATGTAAATGCAGACTGGCCAGCAGGCAAAGTATAATCAGAAATCTATGTCAGTTCCCTAAGTGAAATTTTATCCCCTTTCTTAATCCACTAAGAAATATCTAGGGGGAAACTGGAAAACATTGTCATTCATTTTGATATTGAATAAATCATTTTAAACTATCAGATATAATTTTAGGTATCTGTAATTTTTTTTTTTTTAAGTACCAGGTATCTAACTTGGGTCCTTGCGCTTGCAAGGCAGGCGGCAGAACCATTGAGCTAAATCCCTGGCCCTAATTTTTTATAATTACACTTATTCTAAATTTATTGTAAAACCTAACCTTATCTAACAATTCACCTGTTTTATAAAAGTGATAATTATGTACAGATTATGTGCCGGCACTGCTGTAGAGTTTCTTTTATGTGCTTTCTACTATATTTGTTCATCATCCTCATTAAGGCCATATATTAGGTTTATTCTACTTGTACCCTTTCTCTGAAAATACAATATATATCTACTTAAAGAAGTCATGACATGCTTTGTTTTGAACCCAGTTGTCTGTGATGAAGAGCTAGTCTGTATGTTCCACCTTTCCATAATTTTCTTCACATCTCATTGCAAAGAATCAGTAAATAGATGAGAGAAAAAGGGAGACAATGCAAAAGACTATTTGGTGATAATTCCAGTCAAATATCTCCCTAGGAGTAAAATGAAATTTGAAGAAACAGAACAGATGTAATTACATATATCACCACATTACTTTATAATCATATATGACAAACTACCCCCTAGAATTGGCTAAATGTACACTTTTCCAAGAGATTCATCATAAAGGATTCATTTACTAAAAGTTCAGTATGACTCATAACATTTCCATTTTAAATATAAAGTATTTTAGCCTCTTCCTTTAATAGTACGGTACAGTATTAGAAAAATAAAAGAAAGGAAAAACTATTGACATAAGTGCTACAGTCTTTTAGAATAAGACATTTTCTTCTTCAGAAGTAGATCACTTCCTTCCAACAAGGAATTTTGCAAGAAAATAATTCTCCCTTTGATTTATTGGATCCTTACAGAATTTCAAGAGGTGAAAAGACTTTCAAAAGCACGTCTACTACCAAACTAATGTCTGAAAGTCCTCTACAACATTTCCAAGTATTTGTAATGGGAAAGTTACATCTTTCCAAAGCTGGTAATCAGTCACCAGCTTCCTCTTGTTCTTCCTCGACATTATCTTTTCTTATATTGAGCTAAAATGTATTACTTTGAAGCTTTTATCCATTGATTGTGTCTCTGCTTCTAGTTCATGTAAATCAGTCCCACTTATGTATAAGAGTTCTTAAAGATGGTTATCCCATACCTGCAGAATTCACTACTCATTCTATTTACACATTGTATCATCCCAATATCTATAAGTACTAGGAGATTTTCCCTTACTCATAGTGCTGTAGCACACAACCAAGCAAATGAGAGTTAGGACATTTCCTTCTTATTGGAAAATGTTTAAAGTGATAGAAACAGTATATGTAGCATATGTGTGTATCAAATATTTTTATACCCCATTAATATGTGCAACTTTTTGGTGTGTCGGGTAAAAATAATAAATAAAAGCAAGTGTCCAGGCTGAGGTAGAAGGAGGTACAGCAAAGATCAGCTAGGTTTTATTGAGATCGGTGTCCCAACAACTCTGTTCTCTCTCATTCCATTTTAAAGGGATAGTATTAGCCCAATTCAAGGCCTCATAGAACCAATTCAGTCATGCAACATGCTTGTGTAAAAATCATAAAATCCCAAGTTGACACAATGAGGCTTCTTATTCACACTTCTATTTATATTGTCAGAATATGTTTTTCTTGCATGGATTAGACTGGAATTCTTTAACTGGAAAAATAAACAAGGACTTTTAAAAATGGAATCTAATCATCCTTGCTTTGTTCCTCTTAGGAGTTATTGTCATTGTACAAATTGCTCAGCGATGATGCTGTGAAAAATGCAAAAACATGAATATCACTAACATTGATCTCTCTTGCTCTCTCTCTCTCTCTCTCTCTCTCTTTTCACAGTGACTGTTTTGAGCCCAGCAGAAAAGGGTAAGTAGATGTTGTAAATTGTATTGTTCAGGACTGCTTCTTTCTTTCTATATAAAAGTACGTTATATAAATGTTTATAAATCAAGCAACTCACTCAGAAATACTTAGGTGATTGGAAAGTTTAGGATGATGGTTTTAAGGAAGCTTAACAAGAAATACAGTAGAATGTAATTTCCATGTCTCTTTGGCTATAGGAAAGGAATTAGAAGCTACGAGGATGTATAGTAGAGAAGGACATAGGTAACCAATCTGTGTGCCATAGTGACCTTATTTCAGTAATGGCAAACCTTTTTGAGCTTTCAATGATACAAACAGCCTGTTGTATCATGCAAGCCATAGGTTCACCATCACTGCCTGTATGTTGGCTCTTCACTATTTTCCTAAGTATGTGACATTTCTTCCCAATGCATCCACTCTTTAAGGGATAGTGTAAAGGCCCTAGAGAAGGCTGCACTGACCATGTTCTTTATCCTGTCATAGTTTCAGTATATTTATTGTGCTTAACTTCACTCATCACCATCATTTTGGTTTCACCTGCAATTTTTTCCAGGTTTCTAAAGTACAGTGGACCCTTGACTTACAAATTCAATTTTTTCACCAGGGTTGATTGTAACTCAAGTTGGTGTATTGAAGGCTCAGGCTCCTCTACACAGTCTTCAAAGTGTCTCTTCTGTCTGTATACAGGCAGATCTCAGTGTCCTTAGAGAGTCATTGGCCAGGATTTCTCAGTTAACCCCAAACAGGAAAGGATGTTGTAATGTTCTTTTCAGAACTCTTTAAGGCTTAAATCTGTATCTGAGACCACCTGAAAGCACAAGCAGCCAGCATTGGGGTCAGAAGTGAAGACTTTGTTCATAAATTAAAACTAAAATTCAAGCTGTAACCCAAATTGTTTGTCAACTCATAACTCAAGGGTCCACTGTATAAGCTAAGGCTCTTAACAAACCTTTACCTTTACATTATTTTATCAGTAATAGCCAGAATATGTTTTGTAGCCACAGTGTATTGACAATTATCACTTCATGGGAATTAATTGCTATAACACATTAACTCATACCTCGCTGTTTTAAAGCCCTAGTTTGCTATTAGTCATGTAATAGAAGCATTAGCTGTAGAGACAACAGAACATTGTGCTTGGGAGACAGTAGACTATAATATTTTTAAATGTGGGTTCTAGTAGTTAAGAATATGAGTTCTAGATTTAGAATTGTGAATTCTAGCTGGGCGTGGTGGTGCATGCCTGTAATCCCAGCACTCAGGAGGCTGAGGCAGGAGGATTGCTGTGACTTCAAGACCAACCTGAGCTACATAGTGAGTTCCAGGTCAGTCTCAACTACATAGTGAGACCCTGTCTCAAACCCCCCCCCCAAAATTGTGAATTCAAATTCTGATTCTGCCATTTTGTAATAAATTATTTTACATCCTTGTGCTTGTTTCATTTGTATATATAATAGAAATATACTACCTAATTCATAGAGTTTTAAAAATATTCATTGGAATGCAAAGTTAATAAATTATTTTACATCCTTGTGCTTGTTTCATTTGTATATATAATAGAAATATACTACCTAATTCATAGAGTTTTAAAAATATTCATTGATGCATGCAAAGTATTTAGAATAGAGGTGAACAAAGCACATTCTTATATCTCAATAAATTACTACTATTACTATTAGAGTAAGCCCTAAATTGCTTATTATTCTTGAGTGTGTGTGTTTGTTTTCCTGGGGACTGAACCCAGGGCTTTTGCACTGAACTCTATCACAAGCCCCTTTATATTTTTTGCATTTTATTTTGAGACAGAGTCTTGCTAAGTTGTCCAGGGTAGGCTTGATCTTTCAATTCTCTTTCCTCAGCCTCAATTAGCCAGCATTGTGGGTGTATACTACCATGCCTTGCTGCCTTTTATTCTTATGTACGGTTCTTAAGGTCAGAAAGCATATTTTATACTCAAATATTAAATAATTATAAATAAATATTTTTCACAACGAACTTTCAAGACAAGTTAAATGGTGGCTTTGATGATGCTATACCATAATGGAAATAACAACAATGATATTCTTCTTATTACTGAAAACTACAATTCATTGTGCCAGCAACCCGCTAAGTTTTATATATACATTAAGTCCTTCAATACTTATATCAACATAATGATGCATGCATTCTTATGTCCATTTTTTATATCATTAGCATCTTATGTACTACTATAGTTTTTCACACCAAAGAAACTATTTGGTATAAGAAATTGAAATTTAGAGACATTAAATAATATATCCCAGGTCATTTGACCAGTGAGTGGTAGTATTAAACTTCAAAATGTCTGACCTAAACGTTATGCCTTAAGCAAACCTGCATTTGTATTTTACCTTTTAATTTAGTTTTACTTAGATTAGTTCCTTACTCAGAAACTTGATGGTCTATTGCTTTTTTCTCCAGTGTCTAAAATACCATATGTTGGGCCAGAGATTTAGCTCAGTGGTACTGCTGCCTGCCTCACAAGTGCAAAGTCCTGAGTTCTATCCCTGGTACCAAAAAAAAAAAAGACAGATAAAATGAAATACCATATGTTCACATTTGCAAGTTATCGATGAATTCAACTACACCAATGTGAAGTGCCATTTGTAAGCTACCCAGTTGCCAGGATTTAATTTCTCTAGGAGATTCTTGCAAAAATATATGACTTTTATTGTTTCTTCTGAATGTAGGATCTTATGATCCCAAATCACTTTCTCCTCATAGTTCTTGAATTTATCAATACAATAAAGAATAAGATTATACAGTATAATGGGACAAAGCAGAAGATGTAACAGACAGAAGATTTACATTGTAGTTCTAATACATATTTACTCACTCCATGACCTCGGAAAGTAACTCAACTGTCTGAACTACCATTGTTATAAAATGAAGCTAGTTTAATAACATTGTATGGATTTATTGTAAGCTAGTGAAAGTATGCAGCACTAGTATGCTTTTAAATATTAAGTATTAGCAATGTTAGTTGTTACTTTTTTATATGTCAAGATTTGTTTCTATAGCCCTAGAAAACTAATGCAGCTGGGTAAACTAACAACTATTACCTGATAAATTATGACCTATAATTGTCTGTGAAGAGAATTGTAACAGTAGCAAATAAGCAAAGACTTTTGTGTTAGATCTATCTGGAATCAATTCAACTTTGACAAATGCCAAATATGTAACATCGGGGAGCCTAACAAAACTCTTGCTTTTTCTTCTGTGAAATAAAGGCAATAATTGCCTTTCATGAATGAGCATGAATGAGATGATATTTGTAAAAATCTGAACATAATGATGGGCACATTATAAATAATAAATAGAAGCAAATATTATTATTGCATGATTGTTAATATTAGAGATGACCTGAAAGGTCTTTCTTCTAAGATGTATGACATGCTTCAGGACTATAATTCCTCATGACTCCCATTATGAATAGATTGTGAAAATGCATGCATTCATATTGTATGGCTAGAAAAATTGAGATTCAAAGAAATAAAATATATTGACATAGTCATGCTCATTCTAGTTTACACAAAGGACTAAAGCCCCAGTTATCTGAGCCATAGTTCTACATATTATATGTTGTGTCAACTTTGATTATACTTATATTGGTCTCAGAAATTTTTAAGGAATTTTTACCTGTTCCCATAGATCATACTAAACACATGATAATTATGTATTTATTTCTTTTTATTTCATAAATGCATTTCAAAGATGTTCTCACTTCACTCAGCATAATACTACCCACATTTAGAAGCTCTTCAGAAGAAAAACTTCCTGTCTCTATTCTTGAAATGAAGATCTGGGTTGAACTAGATGTTATGAATTTAGTAGAGGCCAACAGTTTATAAAGCTAAGAGATGAACTTAAGAATGAGATGGACATTAGGCCCAACCCGCCACAAAATCCACATAAATTGAGAATAATCCATTGTCCACAGTTGCTCATCTTTAGAAATCATTTTATTTTATTTTATTTTATTTTTCTGGTACTGGGGCTTGAACTCAGGACTCTGTGCTTGCCAGGCAGGTGTAGAAATCATTTTAAACAGAAGCTCACCTTATTCTCTGCGAATTCATTTGTGGTTTTAATGGAGTGATTACTAAACTATCTGGTTTCCTTCTTAAAGTAAAAATGATTATAATTATTTACCTCTCCTTAAAATGATGTACTTCCTGAATATTAAAATTGTTGCAGACAAACTTGATAACCCTCAAAATTCATGCATGAAGTCCTAACTTCCAGTTCCTCAAACTATGATTATATTTGCAGACAGGACCTTTAAAGAGATAATTAAACTAAAATGGGATCATTAGAGTGGGCCCTAATCCAATATGACTGGTGCCCTTATAAAAGAAGCATATTGGAACAAGATAGGTACAGAAGGAAGATCACATGAAGGAAGACACAGGGAGACATCCAGCTACTAAAGGAGAGAGGCTTTAGAATGAAGGAACCCTGCCAACACTTTGATCTAGACTCCAGAAGTTAAGAACTCAAAACTTTAACAGAAAGAAAACCACAAACAAGCCAGTTAAAAAGTAAGCAATAGATCTAAGTAGACATGTTCCTAAAGAAGACATACAAATGGCCAGTATGTATGTAAAAAAAATGCTCAACATCACTGATCTTCAGGGAAATGCAAATCAAAGCTGCTATAATATATTTTCTCATTCCAATAAGAACAGCTATTATTGAAAAGACTAAAGATAAATGATTGCTAGCAAGGATGTGGAGAAAAGGGAACCCTTACATATTGTTGATGGGAATGTAAATTAGTACAACCATTATGAAAATCAGTATGGAGGTTTGTCAAAAAATTGAAATTAGACCTTCCATATGAGCCAGCAATCCTACTTCTTGGTATACAATCAGAGGAATTGATATCGGTATGTTGAAGAGATATCTGCACTCCTGTGTTCATTGTAGTACTATTCACAATAACGAAGAAACAGAAACTTCCTAATGGCACAGCTGATGAACTA